AAACAGGTTTTAAAGTGGTTTAACTAAACAGGTTTGAAAAACTATCTATGAACACGAGACTTATACCCCATTCACACCAAGGCTTAAACAGGTTTAAAAGTGGTTTAACTAAACAGGTTTGAAAAACTATCTAAGAACATTTCTTTTATATTACCCAGTCCGCCAATATACTGAATACTGTATGTGATTTCGTGCGTGCTGTAAGTCAGTACCGTAGGTTTCCCACTCATAACAGGGCAGAAAAAACGGGTTCTACTTTCGACGTTTATGCGTTAATAAGCTTTATATTTCATAAACAGGCTCTTCAGGGGCTTATTAACGATGTATACCAAAATTTGGGGAAATTTAAGGGATGTGTATTTGAGATATAACGCACTGAACGTTGAAAGAAATGATATCTAATCAGCACAAAAACTAACATTTTCGCTAATACCTCGAAGTAGAATTGCTCGAGGTTAGCAGAATTTTGTGAAAAGTTTAAAGCACAAGAGATACAAATGAAACACTAAACGTTTTTTTAGCATGAATGAGAGAGAAAGAAAAAAAATTGCGAAAGTAGCAGCCTTTTCTGCTGTGTCCCCACTCATACAAGTGGGGGGAAACATTCTAACTGATAATATTGGTCTTTATTTATGTTGTAGGAATGTTTTGTACGCCTTTGCTTATGGTTTCAACCATGCATCAAGACTGGATACTAGGAGATGAAATATGTCACGCATATTCTGCCTTCTTGTCAGTGTCTCTCAACGCCTCTATCGCAACCCTCTGTCTCATCAGCTTAGACAGACTTAATGCTGTCAAACATCCTTTTGATTACCGTAGCTACGACACTTATACACAACGCTTCACAAAACTCTTGTTGTCAATCGCATGGTTATATTCTATATTCTGGGGCGTGGCACCTTTGGTTGGTTGGGGAGAAATCGTGCGAGATTCAGTGACTTTCACATGTAAGCCAAACTGGGGAGCTGAGGACATCTTAAACAAATCGTATTCATTCTTCCTGGCTTTGTTTGCTTTTGCTCTACCAGTTATCACTATGGTTGTAGTGTACTGTTTGATCTATCACTATTCACGGAAATGCGCCCAGTGGATGAAGGTATACGAAGGACACCAAGACAAAACGAGGGAGAACATTAGACTGTTAAGAGAACGTGCCGTGTTTAAGACAGTTCTAGTGATACTAGGAGTATTTGCATCGTGTTGGGCCGTGTATACCTTGACTACCTTCTGTAAATTATTCATTTCTCGTACTCCGCCGAACTGGTTCATTCAACTTGGACTTATTCTCGCTCTCACTGGAAGCTGCACGAATCCACTCATCTACGCCGTACGTGATAAAAAGCTTGTCAGGGAGTTTTTCTCCTTGCCTTTCGTTCGCCCATGTCTTTGTATGAAAGAGGAAACGAACTCAGGGTCACGTGACCTACTGGCGTACACTTCGAACATGTATAGGCTAACAGTATTGAACAGTAAAGAAACTCTGGACAGAAGTCCGGCTGCAAGTAAAGAAACGCTGTATAAAATTCCTGAATTAATCATTCCGCTTCAAGACAAACAAACCATTGTACCTGTACGTATTACACATATTGAAGTGAAAATTAGGACTGACCTCACGAAGGACATGCTCGACAATATGTCAGAAACTGATCTTTGACGTCATTAACGGATCTTAATTATGACGTCACGATCATAGAACCGCTGTATAAACTTCCCGAAAAATTGCGATTCAGGACGACATTATATATATGTTAGAAATTGAACTATGACGTCATGGACGTCCCGATCATATGACGGATGTCCGACCTTATCATATTTATTATGACAGGTGCAACCATTAACTTCACCTCATTCCAATCATTGTGTAGTCAAGAATAGCTAGATTATGAAAAAATAAATAAATAAAAGTATGAYTTTTTTCCGAAAACGTCAATGTAAGTGTTGAGAGTATTGTACGCATTGAATAGGGGGTGTCAATGGGGTTGGCAGCAAAAAAAAAAACGTAATGGTAAAAGTGTAAATTTTACACCGTGAAAAGGTGAAAAAACTTAATGACGTTTCGGATGCTAGTCCTTCGTCGGAGTAAAAGAGCAAGAGGTGGTAGAAAGGAGTGTTTATAACAATTAAAAATTAATGATAGATATCTAATTTGGTTAATACTATGGCCAGCGTTCGTCAAATTATTATTACATTTAACTGACATTCGGCCGAAAAATTAGTAGCTAACTGACAATTGGGGGTACCCCCATTGGCACCCTCTGAATATGGTCCATTGAATGAAGTAGYATGATATGCATACGAGGAAAAGTATTCCAACGTTAATTATCCGGCAACAGGAAAAGGACTATTTATTTATTTTTATCTTTTTACTCACTTATAGTTACAAAAAACACCTCCCTCTACAGCATCCTGATAACATGAGTCATTGTGTTATCAGGATGCTGTAGAGGGAGGCGTTGGTCTCCGGTATGATCAAGCAATAAGTAAAAATGAAGGTGTTTTTCCATGTGCGGAAACAGCCAGGTATAGCAATGATCCCGGCTAGTTTTCAAACGCGCAGGAAAGAGGAAACACGTTTGAACTTTAGAGTTCTGGAACTCTGTTTGCTTTAATGTGACATGATTCAAGAAAACCCTCTTTTCATTCCACTGAGAGACCTAAAACAAATACTGAAAGTTCAATAAATCAATCATCACTCTACGCCAGAAAAAGTAAGGTATATTTTGGTTATTTGGGTGTTTGTATCAGAGTCATGTTGATCGAACCAAGCATGCATGGGCTCCCTGTGTGATAATCACATTTCGTTGGATTGGTCACCCTGTGCTCAAGTACATATATTTTCAAGATGGCGGACGCATTTTAGGAAAGTCAGCATGTCGTTTCGAAGAATTCGTCCCCTATTTCCTCAGGTATGTGAAATCCTCTTTTAATGTCAAGGAATATTTGTTATTTCTCCATTAAGTAATGTTATACTTTATATATTTTTTATTCTTTGTAGGCAAATTCAGCCTTAATTTGTGCAAGACAAGCGTGCAACACCGGTAAAAGAAGCTTGCCTGGTTTGCAAAATACTTTAATTTTTCCTAGGTAAATAAGTTCTGTATTTATAAATTAACGATGATCTTACCTTGTTGTATTAGTTATTGGTTCCTCTACCGTTCTGTRTGTATGGGGTTCGAGATTGAGGTAAAGATATATATTATTGTAATAGAAAATTATTCTTTTTGTAGGAACAATAGTTTATTCGTATCATCAAGATTACTTCAAAGCAATGGGTTTGCTACATTAGCAAGTACAGAGGTATGAGACACACTTAGTTTTGGAGAAATTTTAAAATGACGGCAGTTTCAAAATCTTAGCAGACAGTTAAATTTTTCATGCATATACCACAGGTAGCCCAAGCCATACAGTACAAAATAAAATTCAAAAATTCATTAGAATAAAGTCTTACCTTGCGTCTTATGTTTTCTTTTGATTTCGAGCCATTTGCAACAATATTGAGTGAGTATTGTAGTGGAGTATCCTATGTACATAAAATAAAGAAAGGTACAACACTAAAGCTTGCTTGAACCCTCAAAATGTGCCTCTAATTTGCTTCTAGTTCAGTCAAAATTGCTCATCATGCTGAAATTCCTTCACAGAACCTTAGTCTGATACCCAACACATCCACACCATTGACTCTCCCTTCAGCTATTCAATGCTATTCATTTTTAAAACAACTTTTTACCATAGCTATCTTCAATTCTCCGTTCTCGCAAACAGCAGCCATGCAACAGATTTTGACCATTGTTACAAAAGCCTTCCCATACTCTCCCCCTCAGCTCAACACACTCCACTGCTATATCGTTTAGTATGAAACACAATTTGCTCTGAATTATCTAACATTCAAAAGGGTTTTCTCTGATTCACAACTCCCGTGTTTCATAGACAATTGTTATTGGTCAGTGAAAAAATAGCGGTTGTGTGTGTTGACCTGAGGAGGAGAGGTCTAAATATTACTAATTCTGATTTTTTCTTCTATTCCTTTTTCCCCCAGAAAAACTTGATGAAAAGGGACTTACTGTATCCCAATATTCTTATAACTATCAAGGGATATGACCCTGCCATACTGGATAGTTTTTGCCAGTTTATACAATCTGGAAGTCATATATTTGGCCTTGAGGTCATAAAAAAGTAAGTATCTAAGTACTAAGTACAACTATGGCTCTATTCCTTCATGTTTACTTTTACATTCATCATTTACAACACCCAACTTGCTTGTTGATTTTTATGGTGGGAGGAAAACCAGAGAGCCCATGTCAAGGGAGAGAACAATACACTAAACAAACTCAGCTAACATGTGGCTCAACCAGGAATCGAACCTGCAACCCCAGGTATGAACTACACACAAAAGAGACAACACCGTGGCAGAGCATGCGCTCCYCAAAATCTGTTTGTCATAAAATTTTGATATTGTGGTAAAAACAGATACCTAACCCATTATAACATATATATTTCCCACACTTTCACAGATCCATTATTCAACCCATCACTTTATCTCTTATTCATTCTTCATCCATTTGTCCAGTCACCATTCATCGTTTTCGAACAAGCCAATACAACACTGCCATAATAACAGAGTTCCTCAATTTGGCATTACATGTTACATAGAATACATGCTTTATTTACAACTCCCAATGTGGGCTTTTCAATTACAATTAATAACCCCTTAAATTTAAATCTAGTTTAGTTACATGATAAGAATATATTGTACAAACTACATCATTTATTTAATTTCAACATAACATTACATTATATTTAATCCTACACTATATTTAAATATAACATGAATAAAAAATAGATTAAAAAATACCCAAACACAATTTTTTGTTTTTAATCTGTACTTTAGGTTTAATTTACCCACAGAGAAGCTCCACCAAACTCTAGCTAACCTTCCTGATAGTTATAAAAAACATAAAGTCAAGTATGAGTTGAAAAAACATGGCCGCATGATACAGGTAAAGAAGTAAATTAATCTTTTTATTATTTTCTTCTTTTTTCACCCACAACATGGCATTTACAATTATATAACCCACTTTCAGAAGTCCTATCAGTGGTGGTTTAAATTCACTTTGTTGTACTATAGGGCTTTTAAGTTGTGACATATTTGCGGGTTCAATCACAAAAGATCACTAAAATCTTGTCATAACTTATTCCCAGGATTTATTCTCTACCATCAACAATGATTTAGATATATACACTTATTTCAATAAAGTTAGTCGCCTGAAAAGCTATAAAGCTGAGGCCGACAAGGATTATGGGTAGTTACATTTTACATGTTTCAACCGCTTTAATAACTGTTGATGGACTTGCACATCTTTTACCGGTTACAGTCTCACCTCTTCTGAGCATCCTTAAGCTGCAAATTGTATCAAAAGCTTTACTTGTTTGCAGATATGAAAAGTTTCCCATGATCCTCAGTGATCTCAGCTTCGTAGGTTTTTTGGTGACTAACTTTATTGAAATAAGTGTATACAAGCAGAAAATCCTGCTATGAAGAAAAAACACAGACAAAATGTCTGTGTAATCATTAATTTTTGGACCTGGAAGTCGTTTTTTGTTCGAATTACTATATATGGGGTCTATAAATATATATATTTTTTCTTTATTTGGCGTTAATAGATCAAAGAAATTCCAGTAGAAAAAGCTGATATTTGGCTTCAATTTGTTCAATCTAACCTTCCTGAAGGAGTAAATATGCACATCGAGCTGGTATGTATTCATTCTTTCTAGACTACCTAGGATAGAAAACGATTTTATGCAAATATGCTATGACTTTTCTAAAACCTTTGAGTGATATCACATTTCAAGCAGAGTTTTTCACATTTTGTTTGTCATGTAATGACAAAAGAGAGCTCAGAATAATATTGTTTTTTAAATGTTTTTAGAAAAAGTGGCAAGATTTTGTGTCACCACCAGACCCAAGGATTGAAGAGCAAAGAAAGCTTGACATTTTGAGAAAAAAAGGAAAATTAAATGAAAAGTCAAGTTAATGTTAATATTTTTCTTGTTGCTGTATTTTATGATTTTTTTATAAAACCATCATGCGATATGCAGCTATATGTGAAATGCTCGGTTGATGCAAACGAGTCAATTAAATCATCATAAAATGCTGTTGAATGCAGTTGATCAATCATTAGGAAATGGTAAATCTGAGGATTATGGATGGAAATATATATAAGATTTTTTTGTTTGCATCTCAATTATGTTTCACTATCAATATGTTTAGTTTTCACGAGGCCCAGTGTTGGGGGAATTGCCCTATTTCACTATGAAGTCACATCAAAACAATCTATTGTTTAAACGCAAAGGATCTTGGTCGTAGGAGGGGGTCAAATCAACGCAAATTCACCGAAAATTGTTCTAAAACCCGTATCAATCCACAAAGAGAAGTAGAATAGCCAGCAAACTCTCAGAATATTTTTTATTACATATTAACACATATATCTGAAAACCAGGCCATTTTAGATTAAACTGTTTTGCTAGGAGCAAATTTTGTTGAACTTTCTATTGGATTTGGCGATTCTATCCCCCACATAAACAAACAGTGGCGTCATAGTGAAATAGGGCAATTAAATTCCCACAAGTGACATGGCCTTGAAACGGCAACACAAGGGTGATGAACGATAGATTGCTTTTAATAGTGAATTACCAACAGCAATGAATTTTCTGACCAGGGACACAAGAACATTTCTGAGAAAATTTATTGCAACATAGGCAGTCGTGAAATTGGAATGAAGGACATTGGGTAATCCCACTAATAGGTCCTCAAGTGTCTCATATTTCCCATGTAATTTTATATGCACATGGATGCATCTTTAAGTTTAATTTATTCAAAAGTTAAAACAGTTACAACTTTTCATTACAAGTCCTTTACAATGATCTAGTTTTGAAAAAGATATATGATAAAATATTCTTATCAATGTTCTTTTTTTAGAACATGCCTTATAAGGTTAATGAATTCTTACCTCGCCTGACAAGTTTTGAGTCTATAATAACCAGTCATGCAAGTTTTAAGTGACCCAAAATACACACTCATGTTCTTAGGGGTAAACAACAACATTTATTACATCATTTTTCTATTTTTAGCTCATTACAAACTTGCTTTTAATGTTCAACAATTTTTGCCAAGCTAGGATATRCCTATATTTTTTAAGAATACTGATAAATAATAAACGGCTATTTTTAGCTCATTACAAATTTGTTTTTAACTTTTGTGGCCATTTTTGCCAAGTTAGTACATATTGATTCTTTTGAGTGCTTATTATTTTTAACTATCAAAACAAGTATTTTTTAAGCAACTATTTTTAAGGGCATTACTCTGTTGTAATATGTTACCACACCCAGAATGACTTAGCAAAAATTTTTACCATGCATTCCATCATCCATAAAAGCTAATAAACTGTGGTTGTATATTTTTCATGGGTTATGACAAGTTTTTGGCAGGGTTTGATTCATGTCATGTTCTTGGCACCAACATTTTTCCCTAGTGGTTTGATATTTCAAAGTTCTATTGAATCAATCATTGTGTTTCACTTCAACCCATTTTAAAATTTTATACACAAAGAGTCTTGCATTTTAGATTATTTTTCTTTATTTTCTCAGGTCAACTGATTTTTTAAAAGTTTGATAAAGTAACTCATGGTGTACATGTAACTTTAACAAATCGGTAAATAACAAATAGTAATGATAATAAATTAATATGTGAACTTTGTCCAGCAAAGCTTTTTGTAACTTGATAAATAATGTGTTCAAATAACTCTAAATTTTGGCATCTTACGAAACTTGTGCTTTTCTACCATGTTTGGTAATACCACAAAAAATTTTAAAAAATGCTAAGAAAATTCCTTTTATAAAACTGAAAAAAATATGTTCAAAGGCAAATGACATTTCTTAACTTTTAACATCTTGTGAAAGAAAGTTTGAAAGTGCCATCTTATTCACCCTAACTTCTAATAACCATGTGATTAAGTTAGACTTGATGTAAATCAAGGATTTAAAAAGTAAGCTTAAAATATGTACTAATATACTATATTACACTATATACCATTTCATTAGTTATTGGAATCATTTTATGATTACATCTAGACTTTATAGTAAACATACTTTTCTTCAATTAAATTTGTCTAAAAAATATATCCCTAAATTGCTAATTGTATATTACTATGAAGTTTTCTTGTCCTCTTCATCACTTGAATTTACAACAATAAGACAGTCATGAGACCTCAACATCTCCTCCAGTTCTCTCTTTTGTTCTTTTAAGGCTGCAATTTCYGTTTCTAGGGTGTGGTTTGCAGAATTAAGACCATCTGTTTCCTGAATTGAGAAATAATACAAAAATGTTAATATAAATTTATAGGTGTTTAACTGTTGGGTGTTACCTTCTCGAAATAAAACCTTCACTTCACAATTTTAGAATATAACTACTTTTCAACTTTTTTTACTTTTTTACCAGTTTAAGTTCAATTTCCGAGATCCCACCCTATCTCTCAAACAATGGTTTCAACTCCACACCCCTGTAAAACATTATAGCCGGAAAAGGACGGCCGTCGAAGGCATAAACTCCATTTCCGTATCCGGTAACTTGCTGATGAAATCGAAGCTCAAAAAATTAAAATTTTACCCGCCAAAATCAATAAGAATTGCATTCGATTTCGATATTTTTCATTTTGTCTATTAACTAAAGGTTTCGTTCGAATTTTAAACATGTCAGCTATATCGTTCTTCGGTATTCATACTTTAATAATCGTTCTCTCGATTATTTGTTTACATTTTCTCGAACTTACGTACCTCTTCTAGCGCTTGCATGTGCTCTTTTCTCCTCTGCCGACATTTGAAAGCAGCTAGCTTGTTTCGTTCTCTTCTTAGTCGCCGTTTCTCTAATTCTGCAGCGGAAAGCTGAAAAGATAGCGATAATTTGAATATTCGTATAGATCTACATTATATTGATAAGTCTCTAGTACATTGGAAATATATCCATATTTGGTCAGTTACTGGACTTCGTGACCAGCACGACTGTCATCCAGATAAAACACATTTATATTTTATTGTAAATGCCGAAAGCAAAATAGAAAAATAGACTGTGTTTACTAAAAGCATCATTTACCTGATTTGAGTTTGATCTTTGAGATTCTAGGCTAGGCATTTCATCAAGACCTTGAGCAACTCGTCGACATCTGATGGCTCTTTGTAGTTCAAGCTTTACTTCGTCTGCTGCACCTTTTGATAGTGGTGGGGTTTGTGGATTTGAAAATTCGGAAAAATTTCCAGCATCCTCACTAGAAATCTGCAATACGAATATGAAAGGATTATTACATCTTCATATTATAATATCAGAAATGTGAATAATTTTWTTTTTTAATATTCGGCCATATTGTCTAGAGCTATACGCCACTATCCCTGAAAATTTTATTTTTAATGTTTATTTTTCAAACTTGAAAATTCTCGCTTTTTAAGAGCACAAATTTTAGTTCAAGATAGAGGAAATGGAGAAGTTTTTTAAAGGGAGAAAATTGTGAAATAATCCAAAAACTTCAACAAAGGACTTGTATCAAACAAAGAACTCTACACGTGCAGCTCATATAAAGATGTGAGTTTTCAACAAAAAAATTTTTCTTCTCATTTGCAGATCAGTAAAAGCACAGAGACAGCAAAAAATAATATACCCAAAAACCTAAAACGTTGTTTCTGAATTTTTACATTTTTTTTAGAACTTACATTTGATTCCATATCGGAGTCATCCATTGGCACAGGCATTGCTCTGTTTTGGAGTACAAGGTAGTTTCCCTCCGAGTTCATCGAATAATATAATCCATTCATACTTTGACCAGGTCTTTTATACAGGTGGGCGTCTCTAGCAAACAATGGATCTATGTACTGATATCCGATTCGTTTTCCAGTACCGAGTATGGTGAATCACTGCTATTCTGGGAAAGTCCYGAAGACCGCTTCGCTATATAGCGTTCGATATTTCTTCGGGTTAATTTATTCTGATATCATTATTTGGATTTGGATTTTTTTAAACCAATCAGATGCTTTGTTTTTGTTATGTGTTAACAGACGTTGCCATGCGTCTGACGCTTTCTAGAATCGACGTGAACGTTCGTGGTCTATCGTTTCAGAGGTTTACGCAACTACAAAGCGAATGTATTGCACAATATTAATCCAGATCTGGTTCAGAAATGGAAGCGAAAGCTAAATTAACCTTTCAACATGAGAAGAAAAGTGTTATTCTGGGATTAAAGTTTAAAATGCATGACTTTTTTGGTTGCATTCCGTACGGACCAGTCCAGAAAGATCTGTTTATATGTGTTATGACGTTGCTATAATATTCGAAACCGCGATATTTTTGGTGAAATTAAATATATTAAACTTTCATTTTGATTGCTCGTTAAAAGCAAAACATATCTTAGTCTATATTTTTAAGGATTTTTCTGGCTTTTGTGGTATTTTTAATGTCATTTGGCGTCTTTTCTTGCTGCAAATGATCGAAGCTTCTAGTAAAATTCACGATTTGAAGTAATTACTGCGTCATTCTTGACGCAACAATTTAWGGAGTGAAATCGACGTTACGCTCACTTATCAACGTTTGTTTTATATCTTCTGCTAGCACATTTCAATTATATTTTAGATAAAGTGATGATAATTTTGTGGTTTTACTCAAAAACCGAAGCTGTAAGGCTAGAAAAAAGTATTTCGCAATCGCCGTACGTTTGTACTAATGTCACGTACAAAGTTCGGGCCAAGGTTAACCGCGTACCATGCTGTAATTATACCAGTTACCAGTAATTTTCTCAATAAGCTATTTATTTCCATGCATTCAAAAGCAAATGTGTGGGTTTTTCTTTGTCAAGAAATGAAGAATTGGACATTCTTTTGACCGTCATGCAGCCACGAAAAATGGACGAAAAGGACGAATTGAATGAAATTGCAACGAAATAAAATTTAAATAGATATTTTAGTTAGCTAAGCACATTTTATCTTTTTATTAAATCATTTATGAATATATATTCTTCATTGTCAAACTATTTTTATTTTTACAAAGTCATCGTGACTCGAAGCTTTTGCAAAGTGCAAACGCCGTCATTTTCCCATTGATTGCACACAAAAACATTAGCTGTTTCATAATTTTTAAGTGTTCCGGCAGATCACTGATATATTTTCTCTTTTTTGAAATCATTCAAAAGCTCTAGTGAAAAGAACAGTTTATCGTGACCATAAATCTACCAGCATAATAACTGGTGATTTGGTTGGTTGGGTTGTAACGTGCATGGCTGTCGTGAACCGCTAAACTATATCCTATGCATTTATACATATACGTATATATGACGTTAGAAAACTCATTAATAATTCATGAAGAAAACACAATAGAAATCATGACCATGAAGGTGATTTTATATCTGATAAAGATTCGTCTTCATTTGCATAAACTTTAACTTGGATTTTCTCTATCAAACTTGGTTCATTTCGTAAAAAAATCGGTACACAATGAGAACAAACATCATAAGTTTTCTAAGCCGTTCAATAATCTCGCAGATCGTGTTTTATCGGGTCTAAAACCACTCGGCTGCGCCTCGTGTTTTATACCCGATAAAACACTCCTGCTCGTTTATTGAACATTACTTAAAACCTACGGCCCTATAGTACATTTTTGTTTTTTTCGAAAACAAAAACTTAAAACTTTGGAAAGTGACTTTGAACATTGATCTTACTGGCAGGTTCAAGGTTGGCCAAGGACGTCTCCTGATTAAATATAACGCGAGATTTGCTCCCGGAGAAGTACGAAAGATCACGCGATACAAATATTTATCTCAAATTAACTGACATTTGATAGATCAAAAAATTTCCTACTTCTATAATGTAAATAATGTTTCATTTTGTGTGTTTTTCTTTGAATAGTTTTGTTACATATTTTTACAGAGGCCTGCTCTACTGGAAGAATTTTTTTGGACCAAATTATAACTCAATGAAATGTGCAGTATAACATAATATTGCTGCCAAGACAATTGAGGTAAAAAAATTTATATGTAGTATACGACAAGTTGAGCTTCAGACTTAACCCTGAGAATCGAAAGAGAATGTTCAGCATTGAGGTAAAAAAATTTATATGTAGTATACGACAAGTTGAGCTTCAGACTTAACCCTGAGAGTCGAAAGAGAATGTTCAGCATTGCGCAACATATACTGTGATAACGTCACATAATACGTCATACTGTGCACATAAGCTCGCAAACAATTCAAAACGCTTGAGGAATAAAATTGTCGGTTGGTATTGAATGTGAAATTGTAATACAATTAACCATTTTTTWAAATATGCTTCCAAAAATTACCAACTACCAGAAGTTTAATTCTCAAAGTGTAAAAYCGACTGATAAATTGCATGATTAGATCCGGAAATACGAGGTCACGCAATGACTACTGTACTGTAGTGTGCTGGGACTCTTTTCGGATCCAGGATATCATGGCGTGTGTTTTTCTTCTGTCGATGCTCTCTTGCATTGCCTCCCGCTAACGTTCATCTATACTTGAGTATTTTTTCAAAATTAGGATTCAAAGTGACTAAGCAGATTTTGAAATCGTTACAGTCTCGTTACAGCCAAGTCATCCTCATCTCAACGATGACGTCTCTTTTGTCAGTCATCATGACGTCATTTCTGTCATCAGGCCTAATTCATTAGTTACTTTAGGTCATAGCTAATGTTTCAAAAGTAGGTGGTTCGTAACTAGAATCCATTTTACCACAATTTATTTATGTGTGTGTGTGTGATTATGTAGGATAATCCTCAACCTGGCTTAATTCCTGCCCAGTGCGAACAGCCCCCAAAACGGATATGGGTATAACGGATAGATTCATTTATCCATTGATTTATTTGTTGTTGTTTACTTTCCCTGCTCGACATCATATGGACGTCATTTCCTATCATAGTAATAAAACACTTGTCAGTACCGTAGGCAAATCAGTATTAAAAGTAGTATTCACCAACAAACTTCATCCAAAATCCGTTATACTGACTAACTACCTCCACCAAAAGGCTGCAACTTTTTCCTCTCTCTGTCCGGCTCTTCAATATCAGTTTAATGAATTATGAACGTATGGAAAAATAAAATAACTTTTATCGGCTAGCAAAACCTTTTTCAGCATTTTTTACATACTTGCATCGGTTACTGCGCGCAATATGTGACATCATACACTCATTATAGGCGTATGACAGGCCCAAAGATGACACAAAAATAGCTCAAAGCCATGACCTTGTATGCTCTAAAATACTGCATGCGACTGACACCGAATGTTTAATCACAAGTTTATCACAATTTCTCAATCAAATGACATTGGGTCAACCATGTCGATTACAATTAGTCCTTTTTTAATGCAAGTACTTCAGCAGGGGTTAATGTCACATGACTATTAGTTTGTCGGTGCGCGTGCTTCACCATGAAAACACGGACAAACAGTCATGTGTGAGATAGCCGATAGTTGGTACCGTTGCCGACTTCTTTTACTGCATTACCATTGAGCAATTTATAAGAAATACGTATGTTTTGGTACACATAAGAATTTAATAATATATATGAATTGTACAAGTTTGTATTCAAAGCTGTCTACATGTCTAGTCTCAGGCTTTCAGGGGATCTTTTTGCATACGAATGGAGGTCTCCCTCCTTGGTTCGCTTTGCTAAAACGGAAGAGAAAAAAAACAATATCAGACTCAAAGCTGCAGAAACGAGCCATGGGACTACAATAATGTACAATCTTCGTAATAAGATTTGATACATGCAATACCAACTCGTTACAGGAGTCTTGCACTGATTAATGTAATATACCCCCTAGGCACTTGTCACGCAATGGGACACGCTACCCCACGTGGTACATACTTATCAATACAACTTATTCTTAGCTTAAATTAGAAAGGGTTGGACCTTCGTAACAAAGATCATCTGATACATGTAACCGACAACTCGTTACAAGCCACTTGCAAATCATTTGTGTAAGTACGTACTGGCCCCTTGCCGCTACTCGGTCACGCATGATACTCGGTCACGCATGATACCCAGCATGTCGGCTTAGGCCTTGCAGCATTGTAACCAAACAGCGTAAGCATTCAAATGCTATTCAAGAAGCGAGAGCTTTTAGAAATTATTCTAGTATTGGACGGAATTCCGGACAGCCTAGGTAGATAAAGTTCCCGGTAATTTTCACCCTAACAATCATTAAAGACCTCGTCAACAAGAAGAGCTCGTTCCAGACGTATTCGTGCAGCCATGTATATCCTGCAATGRCGTCAGAATTCAACCCACGAGCAGTAAACGCAATGAATTGTTTATTTATAGACCAATAGCATGACAAAGCAGAAAATTGTGTACCMAAACGAGCATTATTATTTTTCGCTTAAGTGCGGGTTTGTTCTAAAAAAAATCTTAGATCAGATTTTTAATTTGTTAGGATATTGTCCATGTAAAGCTAGCTGAGGTAGTGTAGTTACTCTTTGAAAAAGGCGGTAGCCCGGAACAGTACGTTAAGAATTGAACAAGCAATGAACTTTCTCTAAAAATGTCATCCTGATACTAATACTAACGACATGTATTGCTGTTCAGTATACTGGTTCGTACTCTCAGAAATATTAGCAATTTCTGTAAGTTATTACCAAAAAAGGAGAAAAGTCTGATGGCCGTGAATTTCTTTATGAACAACTCCCTCATTCTAAAATTACTCGGACTCATATCAATGGTTTTATATGCCGTCTGCGCGACAGAAGATCATTGGGACGTAATTTACTTAGGTGCACTGACATACGGACTTAAACGTTTTTTTCTTAAGTACCATCTCTTTAGTAAAGTAAATCAACTTTTCAGTGACTGAAAGGAGTAAACAATTTATCCTCAGAAATAAGACTGTGGGGAGATTGATTTTACTTTATACAAATTTGAGTAAAAAAAACCCTGTTAGGCCGGTAACTGGTTTCCCACTGACGTCACAGTGACGTCATAAACAAGCCGAGGTCACGGAACCAGAAGCTCCTGGTAGCGGTCCTTTTGGCGGAGAATGCAAGGTATTAAATCAATTTGCAATAAATAAAATATATTTTGAAGGTTGGCGTCACATATTTATCTTCATCTGGACACATATTCTTTCAACCCATCCCTTCCCTTTCTCTAATAACACAATGGACTTTTTAATGAAGTGTTTAGTACGTTATCGGATTTCTGTAGTGAAAAACAACTCACAAGTATAGGAATCATTTTGATATGAGAACGGTTAATGCTGCAAGTAAGGAGAAATACCAACCTATTGCATAGTTTTAATCATTTATCAATCTACAATTTTGCAATTTTTTGTGTTTTTTCTAGCATGCTAACTTAGTCTAATAAGTAGACTTTTTGCACTTTAGCAGATACAAAAAGTATTTTCTTACCATTGGCAATAAATTAATATGTTTTTCAAATCAGTCTTTAATCTTTCAATAGAAACCTTTCAATATACGAAAAATCTTACTAACTTTAAATTTCACGTTTTTTTTTTTTTTCCTTCTTTGAAAAATACACACACACACACACATTTTTATATATACACACACTAGCCTCCACTACAACCTAAATTCTCTTACTCTAACTCCACTTCCACAGAAAGCCCATCAAAAATGATCATAAATATCTTGAAAAACAACATTGGAAAGAGCTACATATTCACAAACCTAACTGAAAGATTTACAAGTATTAAAAGATAAATGCAAATAAATAGGATTTCTTAATACCAACTCAGACTAGGTCCAATGGTATCTTTTTCTTTTTCTTTTTTTTCTTTTTACTTTTTTTGAAATGAAGGTGATTAATTAGGACTTACCTGCATTTGCATTGCTACGCAGCCACCCCAGACAAAAATCACGATGTGCACTTTGCAATAGACTGCCATCAATCAAACAAGTTGACATCATTTATATGCGTTTGGATCGGCCCGGATAGGCCTGGTGAGTGTAGCTCATGATACTTGTAAACAATYGACCGAAGTTTTGGCGCCTTTTGAATCACACACACGTGTAAATGGTGTCAACGTATTTGATTGACGGCAGCCTATTGCAAAGTGCACGTCACGATTTTTTTCTGGGGTGGCCACGTARCAATGCAAATGCCGGTAAAGTAACGGCCGGTCAGTCAACAGTCATGACTACTGCCCAAACTAGTTCCAGGCAGTCATACCTTGTTTCTGGATCAAAGTTATGATCAAAATGACTGGCAAGGCATTCATTTGCAACTCGCAATTTTCAATTGCATAGTTACAGAAAATATCCATACCCCTACCACAGAGGGAATTTGTAGAAGATCCCCCCCTACCCCCAGGAACTTCCAATTTTCTTCCATGCAAACTCTGTAATTTTGTTCTTTCTCTGACCCCCCTCCCCTCCAGCATTTCCAATTTCCTCCATGGGTGGGGCATGGATAGTTTCTGAAACTACAATTTCTATCTGGTTGGGCTTTGTTTGATTCATGACCAAACGTCATTTGAAGACCTACTTGCTAATAAAGTGTTCTGGTGACAGTGTTAAAAGCTGGTTCACTTTACTATTCTATGCAGTGGCTTGTGGAAATCTTTCACTTGAGAGTTCTGCTCTTCTTTGTCCAACATTTGATGCAACTCTCATCTTATTCTTCTTGATCTCTTCGGCATTGCAAGTCAAACATAAAGCACGATCTTCATGCTGATCATATTTGACAGTAGCGCAGAATGAGCAGAACACTCCGAAGCACTTGTCACATTGACGCACACACATTTCACATACTCCATGTTCACAAAATGTGCAAGGCATTATCTCTGACTGTTTAGCACACACCCAGCAAGATGTGTAGCTTGGCGTAGCTGTCCCTGGTTGGGACTGTTGACTATGCTGCATCAATATTTGAAATGCGGTATAACCTATGAAGTAAATGTAAAAAAAACCTTCAAATTCAGACTGAAGTAGGTCAGGGAGTCAGCCAATAACCCATGGATCAAATTGGAATTTAGCATTTTTAAGGAGAAGGATCAACCAGAGATAATAAATCTATTTTTGGAAAAAAAAACTTGAATCAAAGGAAAGACCAAAACACATGTAAAGCTGAGTCCTGGGTCACAAGACCCCAACCCCAAGACTGTACCCCAGAGGTGAGTGTACTATAAAGCTTTTTACTCTTTAATTGCACAATATTTCACTATGACRTCACATCAAAAAAATTTATTATTTAAATGAAAAATATCATGGTCATCGGAGGGGGTCAAATCAACGCAAATTCACCGAAAATTGTTCTAAAACCCGTATCAATCCACGAAGAGAAGTAGAATAGCCAGCAAACGCTCAGAATATTTTTTAGTACATATTAGTTAACACATATTATATCTGAAAACCAGGCCATTTTAGATTAAACTGTTTCACTAGGAGCAAACTTTGTTGAATTTTCTGTTGGATTTGGCRATTCTATCCCCCACATAAACAAGCAGTGATGTCATAGTGAAATAGGGCAATTGAGCTTGTGCTCAGATGTGTACATGTAACTTTGTGTTAAAAAAAAGGTAACAGACCTAGAGGCATCAGCCCAAAAAAGTACCTTATGGAAGCACATTTCATGAGAAAAGGGGCTATTTACTACTTTGGGGGCATTGAATAATGTCAACTTCCCAAGGGTAGCCTCCTTTCCCCCCCCCCCCCACCCCCACCCTGGGCTTAACACTGATAGCTGCATTACAACTATGAACAAGGTCCTACCAGAATCATGGTAGTCTAGTGCCCCACGTGCATGCACACCTTGGTTATCATGACCAGGTATTCTATGCTCAAGGTCAGATGCTGGAACTTTCATCTCTCTTGGTGATTCCCCAAATGGACAGCGACGTTTAGTTAGAAGAAGGCTTGCATCAGGAGAACTTGGAACCTCAGAAAGACTCTCCATACTGGAAATATGGCTTGACAATCTAAGCTTAAAGTTTTTGTCAGAAAATAGTGTCAGCAAATGAGGGATTTTCTCTTGAACTTCTTCGGCTTTATATCGATCTTTTGGCCTCAATTATGAATGGGTTTTACACTGATTATCACTGAGATGCAAAACGATAGATTAAAGGGAATCAGTGGGGGTTATACAGAAAATCTTAAAGAAATGCTGAAAAAGACTATCAAAACTGAAAGAATTTTAGATTTTTGACTGAGCCCAGTCTACTTTGAGCATACACAGGTATCCCAATTGTAAATTGTGACGTATTTCCGGGTCCAAATGCTCCGAAAAACCGCTAAAATAAAGCGGAAAATGCTCTAAGTGATCTAACCTCCACCTTAAGAAATTACAATATTGAACAATAAATCCTGCCATGAAGAAAACGTAAAAAAATACTTTATAGAACTTCTATTTTTCCTCATTTTGTGCGAAGGAGTGATTGCGTGATTGCAAGAGGTCTGGTTCTAGCGTCAAGTCGAGGCTGTTCCTCTAATACACGAAGCAAAAAAAGAGAGGAAACAAAAACCGAAGGAGAGAATAATTTGGACTGTTTTACCCTATCTTTTTAAATCAGGATGGTTTTTTTAAGCCATACCTAGTCATTTAGGATCATAGGACAATTTAACTTCAAACTGATACCAAAAAATAGCTTTTTAAGTATGGTAATGATGTTCTATTGACGAAGACGTGGACTCTGTTTTCTTGTCATCACACGAGGCATAAGGGAAAATATTGCTTTAGGAGAAACTCGAAAAAAAGTTTTTTTATCGTAGAAGAAGAGTAATTAAGCGTTGTATTGTCAAACACAAGGATTGCTGAAAGTCAGGAGTTTACTGGTTAATCTACGACGAAGACGATTGAGTTTTTAGTCAGCATTTTTTTGCCTTAGAAACAGGACGTCGTGAAATTCAACATAAGCTTCGAAGTATCTGCTTATCTTCTCTGGTGTCGTACTTCTTTTTTTCTTCATATAGCCCATTGAATTTAGCATCCAAAATGGTGGACGTTGATCCAGATACTCTTCTAGAATGGCTAAACATGGGCCAAGGCGACGAGAGAGATATGCAGTTGATCGCCTTGGAACAGTTGTGTATGCTGTTGTTAATGTCAGACAACATCGATCGATGTTTTGAAAGGTAAGTTGTTTACCCTTACTCAAACCTTTTAAAAATAAATGTGTTTGAAAAATAATACAATAGTGTATCTAAAACAGAATTAAGTCGAAAAATCGAATATATTTTATTGGATCTTCTAACATCAAACAATAAAAAAATTTCGTGTTAAAAGGGATCGCTTGAAAAAAAATTTAGAAAAAGCACGTCTACTTATATTTAAAGGCATTTTTCATCACGACATACCCATTTTGGAAGTATCGTCAGTGATTAATCTATCAAAATTTTACAAAATCTGTTAACATATTGTGGTGTCTATTTTATTTTCTCCATCTCGACAATTAATAATCTAAAATTCAGCATTTTAATTCGTTGAATACATGTATTTCCTGATAATATAAAATCCTTCATTAGAGTATACACTTGGTATGAATATAATAACACATTGACTTTTGCCAATCCAATTTTAAGAATCCATCTTGTAATATTTTGTTGGCCTTGAATTGGTTACAGTAATATTTAACATAAAAAGCCAGACTGTTGGTAAAATAATTTAATAATTGATGTAGGACAGAATAGAATGCTTTGAATAGGATATTGTGGTTTTTCTATTTCGTCTACCAATTTGTGTTAATTCATGTGGAAAAATTTTAAGAGGCGTACTCTGCAATATTATTGTGGCCGTGTTGGTGTACATTTGAAAAAATTATCTTTTTGGTTCTATTGCTTGGTTCACCAACGTCACTGGGAAATTTTCATGATAATGTTCTGTTCAAAATGAATAAAAAAATTTGCACTTATCGTGAWCTATAGATTAAAGTAACTTTTGTTATACCTTTCATGATAAAAACTAGTGATAACTAGTATTGTTAGCTTTCAATGCCGCTGAAATCATTTTCAAAGTGAAAGAGAATAGACTTATGAATGAATAATATAGAGTTAGTTCAGGTTTATATAAGTTTTCAAGAACGTTTTTGTTTAACTTCCCTTACATAAACCTGACCTGACTCTACATGTATGTTGTTCATTCAAACTCTATTCTGTTTCACTTTGAAAATGATGTCAGTGTCATTGAAACGTCAGTTATTATTACTAGTTTTATCATTAATTTTGGTATATATTTATATCAATGGCTATCATGATTATATTCTAGTGGTGAATGTCATATTTTAGTGGTTTCTGATCATTTGTGTTGCTTTCTATGATATCCATCTTTTGACAGTTGCCCACCAAGAACATTTCTTCCAGCCTTGTGTAGAGTATTCCTAGATGAATGTGCTCCAGAGAATGTCCTAGAAGTAACAGCCCGTGCCATTACATACTACCTTGATGTATCAGCTGAATGTACCAGGCGTATTGTTGCCGTTGAAGGGGCTGTTAAGGCACTTTGTAACAGATTAGTAGTTGTTGAACTGTCTTCAAGAACCAGTAAGGACTTAGGAGAGCAATGTGTCAAGGTATAATCAATAGAATAGATAGATCTTATTAGACATTTTAGTTTGGAATATGGGTTGATATTTTTTTTGAGTTTGCTTTATTTTGTTGAGCCCAATAGGCTTATATCCACTCGTATTCCATCCTAAAATGTCTGAAAAGAAGACCCTAAAACAATTGTTTTTCTTTGAACTAGTTTTCTAAACTGGTTTTTTACTGAACAAAATAACCTAGAGTATGAATATCCATTCATCTGTCCATCCACCCACCCATCCATTCATTTATTCATTTTCCCCCCATTAATTAGGTGCTTGAGCTGATTTGTACCAGAGAAGCAGGAGCTGTATTTGAGGCTGGAGGCTTGCAATGTGCTATCACTTTTATTCGTGAGTTTGGTAATTCTGTACACAAGGACACACTTCATTCTGCCATGAATGTTGTCTCAAGACTGTGCGGTAAAATGGAACCACAAGATCCTAATCTAGAAGCATGTGTCAAGTCATTGTCTACTCTATTAAAGCATGAAGATTCCTACGTAAGTTATTACACTCTCACATTTCACAGAATCGTAAGGAAAAGTTCATTTGATATGATGAGAGGGGAGGGGGGGGGGCATAAAATCATTTGTACTTTAAAATATGAAATATTCAGAACCCTGGATTTTAGAACCTGTCAAAATTTGCCACACACCCCCTCCCTCCCCCCTTGGCCATTTGCAAGGACGAGCTGGAGGCATTTTCATTCGTTGACAAGATGCTCATGTCAATGAATGAAAACAAGGTCAATTTTCCTCAGAATTAATTATTCATTATTTATTAATTAATATTTCAATTACAAAGTATATGTAGGTACATAAAACAATAAACTACTAGTTAAAAGAGGTTTTTATATCGTATGTCGCTTGATATTATTTTTTGCTCAAGTCACAATGTCAACTGATTTATTTACAACAGGTTTCAGATGGTGCCCTCCGATGCTTTGCTTCTCTGGCAGATCGTTTTACTCGCCGAGGAACTGATCCAGCCCCTCTTGCACTTCATGGGTTGACTAAAGAGCTTCTTGAACGTTTAGCTAATGCTGCTGGACCAAACTTAGATAAAAGTGGGTCAGCAGGGGCCACGCCTGACTCAAAGAGCAATAGTACATCTGTATCGACAATTGTAAGCCTACTGTCTACACTGTGTAGGGGGTCTCCAGTTATAACACATGTAAGTTTGATTTAATTCATCTTTTTGGGGCTAGCCTTTACGGGGTATAAATTGTTTTAGATTGTGTTACAGTCACCGAAAAGTTCAGACATTGTTTTCGAATTTCCATACAAATGTACTGACTCTAAATGAACTATTTACTTGGTTAATGTTTAGTTATTTCTCTAAATACAAATGAATGATCATTTTTCTAGCTTGATTAAAGCTTTTCTCACTGCTGTTAAGATAGCTAACTAAAGAAATCTCACCTAAATTTCTCTTTACACTGTGAATTTGTATGGAATTCCTAGAACRATGTCTGAACTTTTTGGTGACCGTAACACAATCCAAGCTAGTGCCGAAAAGGTGAATTTATCGATGTTACTCGTAACATGATRAATATAAGTCATACAGGTTATGAATAAATTAAAAGCAAAAAAAAGGCAAACTTGTCACAAGACTGGTCCAAACAAGGTCAAATATGGACTTTTCTTACATCAATGTTTATTTTGCTTTGTCTTCAAAATATCACATTTTCTGTCAGTCATTTGATATAAAACTTTTTTTTTTTCTCTGCCAAGTATTAATATTAATTGTTTATATTTTATAGGACCTATTGAGATCAGAACTCCCTGAAGCCATTGAGAAAGCACTTCAAGGAGATGAACGATGTATACTGGATACCATGCGCCTTGTTGACCTACTCTTGGTTCTGCTGTTTGAAGGACGGCAAGCTCTGCCCAAGTCATGTGTCTCAATACCAAGGGCTGGTGGTGGGGGGATTAGGAGATTTGATAGCTCAAGTGAAAGATCTCATAGACAATTGATTGACTGTATAAGAAGCAAGGATACTGATGCTTTGATTGATGCTATTGAAAATGGTAAGAAAATTTATGTCTGTTAACAGCTGCTGTACAGTAGTCCCTCTTTTTCTCCAGACTTGGACCACAACAGGGCTTATAGTCAAGAGCACAGGCCAAATTAGTTTTAGCTTAGTTATACAGTACCTCATTTCTGGCTAAGAGGTACTGGTCAAAATGTCCAACGAGGCAAAGACTTGACCAGACAAGTCCCAGTTCTGGCCAGACATTGTCTGATATCTGACCGTTATTTTAAGCCCTGTACAGTCTACTTCGATACTAGCTCTCATTAGGTGGAGTGGGGTGGGTGTTTACATGAAGTACAGGTTTTCATCATGGAATTCCTAGACATTGGGTGTCCTTTTCCACTTTCTGTGTGTGCGTAAATGGGTCTTCATGAAAGCTTCTTCTTTAACCTTTTTAAAAAATTTAGGTGGCTTTGAAGTCAATTTTATGGATGAYGTTGGCCAGACACTTCTAAACTGGGCATCAGCATTCGGAACCCTAGAAATGGTAAGAAATAGTTTTTTTCTGATTGTTACCCCAAAACACCCTTAACACTCACTTTATTTCCTTTGTGACATAATAGTATTATTTACACTTGGGATTAATATTCCTTCTGTAGCTTACCTTAACTGACATAAAGTTTTTGTGTGTTATGTAGGTTGAGTACCTGTGTGAAAGGGGAGCAGATGTAAACAGAGGACAGAGGTCATCATCATTGCATTATGCAGCTTGTTTTGGCAGACCTGCCGTTGCTAAGGTATATACATTTCTTTCTCTTTCTTTTGTCAGAAACATTTTTGTTCATCAATCATTATCGCCATCATCATCAGTGACTTCAACACCATCATCATCATGAATCATCATCATCATCAGTCTAACACTATCATCATCATTGTCATCATCATCATCAATCATCTTCACCAGCATCATGACATCACCATCATCATCATCACCAACATCAATTTACATAAATGTAACTATGTTTGATCAAATTTTTTGGCAAGTTTACTCCAATTTTTATTATTAATGGTTATCTAAAATTTGTTCTTAATGCTTAATTGTTTCAGACACTGTTACGTCATGGAGCTAACCCTGATCTCCGAGATGAAGATGGCAAAACGCCTATGGATAAAGCAAGAGAACGAAATGATGAAGGACAYAGGGAAGTAGTCCACATATTACAGTCTCCAGGTATGTCATTAAAAACCCAAATAAAAATACAAGTTTTTACTCAAAGGTTTCCTCATCCTTGCCTCAAATGTATTCCATGATGTGTTGTTGTATTAAAAGCCTCTGGCTTGATATTAATCAGAGCATGTCTAACTCACAGCTCAAACCCTCAAACAATCTCTAGGTTTATCCAAGTCGGGGGAGATTGGCATGAACCCTGAAACAATCTCTGTGCTGATCTAAGGCGGCATTGCTAACTCACAGAAAAAATTGGGATCCCTAGAGAAAGAAYATATTGTACAGCACATCAAACAATCTCATGTGGCACCCACAGGGCTTGAACCATTGCAACCTCCAGAACGTTAGCAGTGTAGCAACCCTTGTTACTATATTATGAATTATGTTTTGATATGATCTCATATTGATGCAGGTGAATGGATGGTCCCGGTAGCCAGTGGAAGCACGGCAGAAGGACAAGCTGAAGAAGAAACAACAGCAGAAGATGGCCCATCTGATGAAAACAAGGGAAAGGAAAAAGAAAAGGAAAAGGAAAAAGAAAAAGAAAAAGAAAAGGARGAAGATACCAAAGGAGACCCAGAAATGGCRCCAGTCTACTTAAAAACCCTCTTACCTGTCTTGGCCAAAAATTATTTGTCGACAATGATGCCATCGATCAGGAAAGCCACCCTTGCTCTAATTCGCAAAAATATACATTATGCTACCAAAGAATTACTGTTGGATCTTTCTCAAATACCKAATGTGGCCTCTCTTATTGTGGAGGTTCTGGCAATGGTTTTAGACCATGAGGTATGGAAACCAATAGATTAGTTTTATCTTAATAATCTCATGAAAGGTTAATTATGTAAAATMCTTTATCCATACACTATTCATGCAGTAAGACACATTGCAGGAAATGTCTGAATTGAGAGAAAAGTGTAAGGAATGGCACACCTAGCCATCTAAGCAAGTGTTGAGTTCCTCRCACTTCTTGAATACTTTTGGCACTTACTAAGTTCTGTATAACTGAACAGAGTATGTTGTATTTGTTTTATATTATATTGGTAAAAAAAAATCTAATTTGCCAGTTTTATGAATAAATGGTTTCATTACTTCTTGGAAAAGCAAGCCATGCCCTGACTCAGATCAGCCCAGATGAGGTTGTTTCAGGGTTCTCTCTGTGATCTAGCCATGACCTGACTCTGAGCAACCCAGAGGTTGTTTCAGGGTTCAATCTGTGAGTTAGCCATGCCTTGGCTTAGATCAGCCCAAAGGTTGTTTCAGGGTTTGATCTGTGAGTTAGCTGTGCCCTGACTTAGATCAGCCCAGAGGTTGTTTCAGGGTTCAATCTGTAAGTTATCTGTGCCCTGACTTTGATCAACCCAGAGGTTTTCAAAGATTCGATAAGAGACAACAGTTTTTAACCAATCAGTAGGCATTGTATCAAAGTGACTATGTTATAAAAGTGTATACCCTATATCATTACTGTCAGTCATAWAAGGATCTTATGTTGATTCCTTTTCTCTAGGAGGATGATGATGGACACCTTATAGCACTGCAGATGATACAAGATATTTGTGAGAAATGCCCAGATGAGTTCATCAGTCACTTTGCAAGACTTGGCATCATCAACCACGTTTCTGAACGAGCAGGTCTTAATGATGGTGTCCAGGAAGAAGAGGAAGAACAACAGAAAACCAAGCTTGATAAGGTACATTATGATTTTGTTGTAAAGTCTCTCCCTTGATTTAAGGGTTTTTCTCAATGGTTCTCCAAATTTTCTGCTAAAAACCCTCAGAAGCTAAATTTAAATTTGATGTGTGAGTTAGCCATCGCTTGACTTTGATAAGCCAAGAGTTTGTTTCAGGGTATAAGTAAAATTTGAAGGATTTTATCTCACACAAGTTTGTCCAGTATTAACCAACTCCATTTCTTGTTATGTACATTCCAGGAAGATGAACCAGTCCAGGAAGATGCCAGTGAGCTGGAGCAAGGTAAACCATACCACTGGAATGACTGGTGTATAGTGCGCAGTAGGGACTGCCTGTACTTATGGAACGAGTCTTGTGCGATTGAGCTGTCTAATGGTAGTAATGGTTGGTTCAGATTTATTCTTGACTGCAAGTTAGCTACTATGTATTCTAGTGGCAGCCCTGAAGGAGGGTCAGATTCATCAGGTAAGGTTATCTACTGTACGACGACCTTGTGTGGGATGTGCTATTTACTCAAAACTACTGCAATAGACCTTCCTTTTGGAAATCGAGGGTGGCGTAGCAGTAGTACACTYATATCTCTGGGTTCTCAGGCTCCATTCCTGGACTTGGTAATACATGTGAGTGAAGATTGTTGGGTCCCTCCATTGATTCAAGACCTTGTGTTAGATCTGCTATGTATGCTCAGACTAATTTATTGCTACGTACATACATGTAGATCTTTCCTTTCGAAATTAAGGGTTTTGCAGTGGTAGCACATTCATCTCTCACATCTGGGTCACGGGATTTTCTGGACTCAGCATCACTTGTGAGTTTAGGAAACCAAGTTTAGAGATTGTTTCATCTCTCTCCCTTGATTTCCCATCACTTTACAAAAAAACTGGGGTTTTTGTTTGTAGAAAGCAGAGGAGAGTTTCTGGAAAAGCTACAGCGAGCTCGTAGTCAAGTCAAACTTGGAATGCCAAGTCAACCCATCCTTTCATCACCTGGACCAGCAAGATTATCTATCGGTAACTGGTTCTTAAATTGCTCCAAAGAAAAACAAATGGCAATCAATAACTCAGATGGCCAACAGGCTACAATTCTACG